CGTTCGTGAGGGGAGATCGTTGGTTCAAATCCGGCGCAACAAAACCATATTTCTCGCTGTATTTGTGTACACGGACAATAAGGGCATGCTTGGATAATCAAAGGGTTGATATCACAGGTATGTGATATCTGTTACAACGTATGGGTTACTCTCGATATCTAGCGTTGTGCTGTTCTCTCTCTTATCTACCTGCTACACCAACTGGTATACTATAAAGTGGGGACTAATCTGAACACCTGTCAGTGGTGTCACCTACGAATCTTCAGCCCTCACTGTAGAGTCTTTAAATTCGAGATTGAGTAACAAAGTCCTCACACCGACAAGTATTCCCAATCGCTTTCGCGGTCTATATCGTCTTCATCTCTCAACACATTCCCCTATCACCACTATCATGAAGCTACCCACGATCAGATCAGATGGTAGGGTCGGAGCTCTACTCATCACCAAACCTTGATCACGGAGGAAAAGCCATCCGATGAGTTTCCGGAGCGTACCCAGCACCCGATACGGAGATGGCGGATTGGATCAAGTCGGCCTCGACTGTTACAAAGAAGGGAGATATAGATGAATATGCGCACCTCATGTGGTCCCGGTGTCTAGGCCTCGCCTGGCTGGGGCTGCAGGATCTTTGAGACTTTTTCCCGCGCATGCAGTTACCATTGCTACCTTTTTTTTTTGTTTTTTTTGGGTAGAAGGTTCCGTGGAAAAAGATGGCCGAATTTCACGGGTAGACACTGAGTTGAATGGCTGTTAATCACGGGCAATATACCAATGATCTTTTAAGTACGAGAGAATGATATCGAGGGATGTAGACTGAGGATTGAACTAGCGAGGTTCCAGAATGTGAACATAAGAGAAATGAGGGAAGAACGAAGTGATACGACTAGAACGTGTAAGGTCGCGAAAAGTACGATATAATTACTAGATAAGAAAATGAAGAATAATTATGAAAAGCCAAAGAAGCCAGGCAACAACTCTGTCGTAGCACCAGCTTTACAAAGTACGACCAAGCTATTCAACCCAGACTGCATTAAGGTCTAATCATGACCCATAGCCTGACCACAACAAAATCTGTACAAGTTAGTGCATTATTTGATCTCACCTAAAAGTCCGAATGTTCGGAATTGCGGAAAACTGGATCCTTGAACTTTCTGCTTAAACACAGATTCACTCATTGTCTACCGGCGCAATTCGGGCAAATTGTGATGGCAACGCACAGTCCATTGTGTGAGTGAAGCATATAGAGTACATGGTGCTCAGCGTGTGCAAGTGATTTTATTATGAATGCCGTGGCAGCAAGCGCGATTATCATCTGGCTGAATTTTGGCGGGCCTAGCGAGAAGGCAAATAATTGTCCAGGGTTCTCCCGAATCTAGCTTTGAGACTACCAGTCCGGGAATGGAGAATATCGACAAGGTATCAATCATTGCGTCTGCTAACTCCTTCCGGCTCGAGACTCTGGTGATTCGGGGGAGCTGTAACCGCACATCGGCATTGAGCTTAGTAGAACATGACACGCCTTTTTTGCCTTCTAATGAATACAATTCCTGACATACACTGCAGAACTATAGCTACGTAAGGCAGATCTCCAGCTTGATTAAAAGAGGGATCCTCGAGAGCGATGCTGAATGGGATAGAGCGGATAAGCTTAGTTAAGTCTAGGCTGTGAAAAAAACTTCTCGGCTTCGTGTAGACGGGGCGAAAATCTACGTGATTTTTTCAACTAATGTTGTATTTAACTGTCTAAATCACGAAATTAGAAAGTGACTGGCTTGCTTGTTTGTCAATTTAGGTCGTGAAGAGAGTAGCTGGAGTCTTTCATTTGCATCAGACTTTAATTGCGTATGCAGCTATCCAGCTATGACACAATCTCAAAGAAAAGTACAGAATAGATGATTCAACATGAGGGAAGAGCGCTCATGCCTCAGATTTCACTTGCAAGTACCACTGCGACGTGATGGCGGCTTTTTCTTCACCCCAAGTCAACCCTCATCCGTGAATACCCAGCCAGGGGAACGTCTCAAAAACCCTGAGTTATCCAGACATGCCTCCATCATCTTTCAACTTTTCTCCGCGCGATATGTGATCTGAGGTGTCTCTTTCCCAAGTAGAGTAGGTGCCAAGGCTACTCAAACCATACCAGAGAACACCACCAGAAGGCGGACCACCACACTTTCCATCGTTTGCTTATTTTGATAGTGTCAGCTGCACCCTCGCAAGCGAAGTCTTGGCGCGCACAAAGCTGAATTCGTAAAACTCCCTGCCAAAATTCGAAATCTTACACCAGTCGAGGTTACTTCCTCCCTTCGCATCATCTTGTCGACTTATCCTGATTCCTCTCACGTCCATCCCAAAGAGCTATCTCCCAGATTTGTGCGCCACGCTTTGCTTCCTCCTGCGGGTATAAACATGGGCGTGGGCGTGTATTTGGTGACCAGCTGAGGCCAGAGAAGGTCGAAGAGTGGTGTGGTCATTGAAACGAGGATGTACTAGATCGTACTTGTAGACTTTATGAGACTTAGGTAGGAGTCAAAGTCGTTCGAAGCGACACAACGACGTTGTGTCGCAAATTGAATCATTGCCTTATGGGCCAACTTCTTTGATATTGCGAAATTTGACTGAACTTGGCTCTGACGGAATGTGTTCGGATTAGGTCCTGGTCAACGATGTCTAGCCTAATTGTGCTATGTTGTAGGCTACTGTTACAATTATTCATTGGGTCATCATCAGGGTTGTGAGTAGTTTCGGTTTTGGTGTGTGTTGTTAGATTGATACCTAAGCGTGTCGCATAGTAGTCAGACATGCGACTCGAGTAGCATATGCACGGTAAACCTCAACCCCAAAATGATGATACGAATCAGGCTTTACATGCTACATCCTGTATGGCTAGCGTGGTTGGAATATGGGGAATTTACCTGTAGACAGATAAAGACGTTGTAGCCCTCTGATAGTTGGGCAAGTCTTCTACAATATTACATCGGAATCAAATCTAGCCACTCATTAAGCAATCTCATGAATTATTTCCAATGTCTGTGATAACAGACATACATATACAATATCGACAACAAGTCCAATGTCGATAAGAATATTTCACTCGCAGGTTCGTAGTGGACACCGCGTACAGGTGTTCAGTCTTGCCATCCGGGTTGGTAATTGGGGATAGGGTAGGACACAAATATATATCGCACACGTGACTCCTAATTAACTAAATGATGCTTCCGACTACATTCACAATGCCCATACCTACTCTGGGAACATCACCTCTTTCTACATTGATTTTATCTACTAGTTAATGTCTTTTCGCCCATTTATCTTAAATGATATGTCAAGATATTCTTCGTCTTGCTGGCCATCATCAAGCCCAGATTTATGGACAGATTTAATCTTTAACAATATCATCTTGAGGCGGACTAAAGTTGATTTCTGCACCTGGCTCAGTATTCGTACAGCATAGAAGAACCTCAGATATCTGATGCACTGTCTAGCTAAATTTCGGAATACTCAGCTGGTATTTGTATCATGAGCTTTTTGAAGCAGTAATAACGATTGTGGTTAACACATATCTTGATTCTTGTCAATAATCTAACTAGATTTACTAGATCGTCTATGACTTAAGTAGTACAATAAACGTACCTCTCCCTGTAACCCAACGAAAGGAATTTTGTATATGCAGTTTTTAACCCTCTCTCCAAACGCCATTCCTAAATAGGTAAGACATTACTCATCGACATGATTGGTCATTATTTCTAAGATAATATATGAAAGATCATTATGTCAATATGACATCCGATAGGTTGCCTTCGACTCAGGTTCGGATGCGATTCTTCTTGGCTATCCCAGATGTGCAGATTATACTGGGCGATTTCAGCGGGACCACCGGAAGGTGAAGAATACGTCTTTGCCGGCTTAGAAGTTAGAATTTCTATTTTTTATGTCTACGTCTACCGGGCACTTGTTACAACTTAAGCCTCATCCCTGAAGAGACATGGTGAATAAAAGGTAGATTAATTGGGGTAATCAAGTAGACCACGTTTCTGATAAACATGTGACTAGGACTTCTGAACCTTCTTTCACATCGACAGTAAATTAAATGAACGCGATCCACAACACCAATGATAGAGGGGTCATTATTTATTAACTAGATACTCTGAGAACTTGTGCAAAAATGAATCTATGCTATTACCCTATACTTAATACATCTGAAATCGGATTAGTTAGGCCCATTTACATTATCACTTTCTGTCAATAATTTTCTCGTGTTTCTCCATATCCTATAATTTTCCCGATGGCGCGAATGATCCATGGAATCGAAAGGAGGCTAAGAAGGCAGAGGGCCAGTTTTTCAGGCACGTACCAACATATAGTGTCCGGCTTGCCGGTCTAGCAATGTTCAAGATAGGTAGTGATGCATATGATATAAGTATTGATGTCAATCTGATGGGGAACGCCCACTCGATATTTTTGTGAATTTCCAAACGTCTACACACTGGCAATAGACCTTTATACAATTATCCAGAGGAAAATTTTGCCCTTTGTCATTTTCCGTCTTCAAACATTCCATGAATGAACACTTTTGAGGGGTAGTAGTTGCAATGGACGCAAGTGAAAGCATTTAATACCTGACGCGTCTGCTTCATTATTTTACAGTCAGAGGGGACATGATTGTCCTTCACATCTCCAAGCTCACAGAGGTTCGAAATTTAGTAGTCAAACATTATCATAATGGAAATGCCTTTAACAATATAAGCAGGGTTTATTCTGCGCTGCCGGATCCTTGTTTATTCGCGCTTCCATCGCAACGCGACCCCATGGGTAAACAGTCCAACGTAAACAAGCTAGGTCTACTCCAACTAATTCTTCTACAATATCTTCTATAAGTCGCAACTCGAGCCACTCACCCGACACCCCCACGGCCAATTTTTATCTCACTCTTGCTTGGGTGACTGATTCCAGGAACCTCTGACTCTCTTGATAGTGTGGTCTTGCATTACACACCAAAGATGGATGATTCAATGGATGATTCGGTGTTCGATAACAAAGATGATTCCGAGGATTTTGCACCTCCTTCGGTTAGTCTACCACAAGTCTAGTTTTAGTACCAGGCCGATGGATCGTAGCGATAAGATTTTATTCTTAAGCTAATATCATGTCTAATATTAGAAACCAAAAGTAAAACCCGTGGCTAAAAAGCCTCCTGCGTCCAAAGCTACAAAAATATCCAAGGCGCCGAAGGTACCCAAAGCACCAAAGGCAACTAAAGCACCGCCAAAAAAGATGGTGCAGACATCTTTGAAAAGCGTAAAACCTATCACAAAAAAACGCCCAAGCGTGCAAGATGACGATGACGATGATGACGATAACGTTGAAACTGACACGAACAATTCTTCGCAGAATGAACGCAGACTTCCTGAATCCCCACCGAGTGCAAAGAAACAGAAGAAAGGAGATCACCCAAACGGTATAAATCCCCCCTCGGACATCGAAGATAACGACAAAAGCGCCGATGTTCCGCCAGTTCAAAAGGCAAAAAAGAAGAAGGATGCTACCGATCAGTATCAAAAGCTCACACAGCTAGAGCACATTATTAAGCGCCCAGATACTTACATTGGATCGGTCGAACGCACAGAGCAGACAATGTGGGTTTTTAACTCTGAGACTAACCAAATGGAATTCCGAAAAGTGCAATTCGTTCCTGGACTCTACAAAATATTTGATGAGATTCTGGTCAATGCCGCAGACCACAAACAAGTCGATCCCAATATGAAGCAAATCAAAGTTATCATAGATCGAGAAAAAGGCGAGATAAGCGTGGAGAATGACGGACGTGGTATTCCCGTAGAGATCCATAAAGTGAACATTTTCTTTCATTTTTGAGGTTAGACACTAATAATTGGATAGAAAGAAAAAGTTTACATACCTGAGATGATATTCGGTCACCTCTTAACTGGTTCAAATTACGACGATGATGAGGAAAAGACCACAGGTGGTCGAAATGGTTATGGTGCTAAACTGTGTAATATCTTCAGCACACAGTTTACTTTAGAAACCCAAGATTCGACAAATGTGAAGCGGTACAAGCAGACCTGGACAGATAACATGGGCAAGATGGATAAAGCTAAAATCACAACTTCTAAGACCTCAGATTTTACTCGGGTAACCTTTACTCCTGATTACAAGCGCTTCAAAATGGAAGGAATAGATGATGATTTTGAAGCGCTAATGAAGCGACGCGTTTATGACATGGCTGGAACCGTTAAAAAAGTAAAGGTTTTCCTCAATGGTACTCAAATCAAGATGGATTTCAAGAAATACATGGAAATGTACGCCAAAGCAATAAATCGAGAGCGTGGTCTTGAAGGGCCTGAAAACGATAAAGTGACTGTTATCGTTGAAAATAATGACACACACGAAAAATGGGAGGTTGGCTTTGCTGTCTCGGACGGCTCCTTCCAACAGGTATCCTTTGTTAACTCAATAGCAACCACATCAGGTGGTACTCATGTCAACTATATTGCTGATCAAATATGCGAGAAACTAATGGAAGTTGTCAAGAAAAAGAACGCCAAAGGAGCTGTACTCAAAACCAACCAAATCCGGAATCATATTTTCTTGTTTGTCAATTGCTTGATTGTGAATCCTGCGTTTACATCACAAACTAAAGAGCAGCTAACAACGAGGCCTAAGCAATTTGGTAGCAAATGCGTTCTTTCGGACAAATTCCTCAAAGACATCGCGAAGACTGACGCTGTTCAAAACATCCTCAACTTTGCACAAGCAAAAGCGGATCAAGTTCTAGCAAAAAGTGATGGTAACCGAAGATCTAGAATGAATAATCCCAAGCTTGTAGATGCCAACTTGGCAGGCACCAAACGTGGCCATGAATGCACATTAATATTGACAGAAGGAGATTCAGCCAAAGGCCTGGCCGTCGCTGGTCGGGCCATCCTAGACCCTGATCGTATTGGCGTATTTCCGCTTCGAGGAAAGTTACTCAATGTGCGGGACGCTACAATCGAGCAGATATCTAAGAATGCAGAAATCCAAAATATTAAACAATTTCTAGGATTGAAGCACAAACAAGTCTATAAAGAGACAACCGGACTCCGGTACGGCCATCTCATGATTATGGCTGATCAAGACCACGATGGATCGCATATTAAAGGTTTATTGATTAATTTCTTACAAGTTCAGTTTCCTAGTCTTCTAAAACTGCCCGATTTTTTCCGGGAATTCATAACACCTATTGTCAAAGTCTGGAAAGGTCCCAATCCTAAGAAGCCTATTGGCCAAAGATCGTTCTTTACCCTACCCGAATATGAAGAGTGGAGAGAAAGGCACACCAATGATAAAGGCTGGCGGCACAAGTACTTCAAAGGTCTGGGTACTAGTTTACCCGAAGACGCGCAGGTCTACTTCAGTAACCTCGATGATCACTTGCGAGAATTTGAAACCATAAAGCCCGAAGAAGAAGATCTGATTGATTTGGCATTCTCGAAAAAGAAGGCAGATGCTCGAAAACAGTGGCTTGGAAACTTCATACCCGGAACATTCTTGGACCATTCCACGCGAACTCTCACTTACGATAATTTTGTAAACAAAGAATTAATTCTATTTTCCATGGCTGATAATCTCCGTTCAATTCCATCTGTCATTGATGGGTTCAAGCCTGGACAAAGAAAAGTTATGTATGCTTGTTTTAAACGTAACTTAATACGTGATATGAAGGTTGTTGAACTAGCTGGTTACGTCTCAGAAAATACAGCTTATCATCACGGAGAAGCCTCCATGCATCAAACAATCATAGGCTTGGCGCAGAATTTCGTTGGATCTAACAATATCAACTGTCTTGAGCCTAGTGGATCTTTTGGTAGTCGACTTGCTGGAGGGAGCGATGCAGCTAGTCCTCGATACATTTTCACAAGACTTTCTCCATTTGCTAGACGCGTCTTCTCGCCCCTAGATGGCCCCCTCTATGAGCATAATGTAGACGACGGAAGGGCCATCGAGCCTACAATGTATTGTCCCGTGGTACCCATGGTATTGGTCAACGGAGCTGATGGAATTGGTACCGGATGGAGCACAACCATTCCAAACTATCACCCAATTGACATTATCAACAACTTGAAGCGTCGCATGGGACGAGCCGATGGGGTTAGTGAGGAAGAACCGTTCAGTACTATGACGCCTTGGTTCCGTGGCTGGAAAGGTACTCCCCAGGTTGCAGGACCCATGCGTTATAATTTCGATGGGATAGTTCGTTGCGTCAGCGACAACGAGGTTGAAATAACCGAATTACCTATCAGAATGTGGACGGATGATTTCAAAGCTAAACTCGAAGAAATTATCAAGGGCGAAAAAGCACCCTCTTTCATTAAAGATTACAAAGAGTACAATGACCACAAGAGCGTACATTTTATTGTGCAGATCGATGACAAGCACATCAAACCCGATATGGAAGACGGCTTACTTGAAAAGTTTAAACTTCATAAAACCGTTGCCACCTCTAATCTCGTAGCTTTCGATACAAGAGGTCAGATTCGCAAGTATGAAAAGGTCGAGGATATCCTCGAGGAATACTACGTTTATCGATTAGAAATGTATACCAAAAGAAAGGTAGTACTATGTACCCTACTGGAATACATTTGGTTTAACTGCGTTTAGGCATACTGGCTCGAAAAAATCAATACAGAATATAGAAAACTTCGAAATCAAGCTAGGTTTGTCCTGGAAATTATCGACAACAAGCTCATAATATCCAAAAAGAAGAAACCTGTACTCGTTGCAGAGTTACGTCAGCTCGGATACGACGCCTTTCCGAAAGTTAAGGATGCTCAAAAATCTGGCGAAGCAGAGGAGGTTGTTGATAACGATGACGATGATGCTGATGAAGAATCAGGCGCTAAAGACTTTGACTACTTATTGGGTGTGAGTACTTCAGGCCTTCTAATAGTTAACCTTGCTAAATAATGATATAGCTTCCCCTATGGTCTTTGACTCAGGAACGTGTAGACAAGCTTAAAGCTCAAATGATGAGTAAAAAAGAAGAACATGATGATCTTGAAAAACTTAGCGAAAAAGATCTATGGTGTCAAGACCTTGACGAACTTGTAAAAGAGTGGGAAAATCAACTAAAAGAAGAAGAAGACTATCAGAAATCCGTCCGAAACACCAATCGTCGTGCTTCACGTAAAATTGGGGCAGGAGGGAAAAATGCGCGTGTTCGAGCACGGAAAGATGATGCAGAATATAATCCTAAGCCTCTCAAGAGCAATGCATCCAAAGCTGTAGCTACACAACAAAAGACTCACCAAAAGTTTATCGATAATTTCACAAAACCTAAGAAAAGCAAGACTACGGGTTCTGATGATGTAAAATCTAACAATTCTGATGATGAGTTTGATGCCGGTGCAATACTTGCCTCAAAGAATGCTCTCAAGGAACCATCTCAGCCACCTGTTGTCAAACCAAGCAGAATAACTAGCAAACGTGCTAAAACTGTTGCTTCCACAAAAAGAAGCAGTGTTGAGAAAAATGAGGACGAATCCGCCAGCAGTGATTATAGCTTTGTTGATGACATCGGAGATATTGGTAATCTAGTGAAAGGCATAGAGGGAGATGAAAAGAATGCCACATCTAGCTCCACTGGTCGTATGTCGCTCTTTGCTTCCCAAAGAAGTGGCAGTCGTGGGCCTAGCAATGTTCTTCCCCAACTAAGATCAAAGCCCTCTAGAGGTTTTATCGACGATGATGATGGCGAAGATGATACTAACTATGAAATGCTGGCTCGATCATCTCCTCAAAAATCAGGGCTTACCAAGGATATACTCGATAGCTACCTATCCGATGATGATACGGTACCGATAACCCAACAAGTACCGGCGCGACAGGCTTCTAAGGCAGTGCAAAAACCAAAGAAAATAGCAACCGCGCCTAGTCGTGTAGATAAAAAGCAGACAAACTCAGTCGTTCCCGCTACAAAAGCAAAAGCAAAATCTACTGCCTCAACAAATATTAAGCGGAACAAGCAGCCGATTGTTCCTGCAGATATCTTTAGTGATGATGAGGATGTAGAGATGAACAACTCGCCCCCCCCTAAACCAATTTCACGTGCCCGACAAAAAGCAGTAGCCTCGAAACAAGCAACAAGTGATAACGAGACACATAACCATAATCAAGCTCGCCCATCGAAGACTGCTGCCCTGATAAAAGAAGTAAAATCCACAAAACAAATATCGGATGATGAGGACGATCTAGATATGGATTTATCTCTTGCTCCTCTCAAGGTAAGTGTGACGAAAAAAGTTTTAAGCGATGACGAAGATGAAAGTATCGTTCCGCTTCGAACAGCGCGTGGCCGTTCGACAAGACTAGCCTCCAATTCCAAGCCGAAGAAGCCTGTATACATTGACTCGGATGAAGAGGAGACGGGTGACGAGCAAAACGTATCGTCCATGGAGGATGACTTTGATGAGAGTGAATAATGTGGAAGTGGCGTAATTGGGAGAGAATCGGAGAATTGATTTACATGTATTGGGGTACCGGTTTCTATTTTAGGCATATCGTGTAATAATCAAATGTAATCTTCCTTTCTATCTCTGGTCCCATTCTTAGGGACATGAGGACGAATGGCCAAGCTTGTAAGTATCAAAGCCTGTCGTCTTGTCATAATGACGCGACTAAGCTTCATGCTGACAACGTTGAAATAACTGCTCTATAACCATTCACGCTAATTCCATAAAATTTACCATAAATTAGACTAAGTTCGCGAGAAGTCTGAGTGTTAGGACACTCCACTTTTCAGTACTAGTCGTCGAATTATTCCTCGAGTTGGCCCTGATGGTCATGCTTCCGTCGAAACGACTGAAATGTAACCCATTCCTAAAGTCGTGGAAGTTGGCAGAAAGAAGGCCTTGCGGTCATCAAAGATCAAAAGATATCAGCTCGACTAATCCAGTAAACATAAGCAATAGACTCATCTCATCCCACAAGACAGTCGGAGCGGGATCTCTCATCAACCTTAGTAAATACCACTGGAGAATAAAGTTGAATACCCGTCCGCAGTATCCTCTACGAGCCTGGGAGTGAAAGATTAACACAGAGACGATATTTACTCACGAATAAGGGTAGAATGAATCATATTTGATGGATTGTCGGATTAAAGGAGCTGTGCTCGGTATTTTGGTCGAGAAACTAGTCGACAGAGATTTCACAACCGCAAGAAGTCGAGCGAAAACCCACCACCACCAACACACGATTCACGATTCACGATTCACGGATGGGCTTAGGTCTATCTGGGGGTCATATTCAAAAAATTGACATCTCTCAAAATCCTTACACATTTGCGACGTTGCATATCTTAGTCGATCCTACACCTGCGACCCACCTCCATGCTCGTCACATCACCCACCTAAACACGCCCTAATGAGAAAGGTCATGATGGAATCGGGACGTGTACAAGGGAGGAAGAAAAGGGAATATACACCGAGGGAATTACATAGATCCCCAATGACGACAGCAACCCAACGGTACGAAATGAAGGTGCAAGGCTAGAGTAACGATGAGATCTGGGACTACAATTATATTTCGGAGTCAGTGAGGATGTCAAGGGCTTGAGCACGTGGTGGCCGAGGATGAGGATGAATTCGCGCTACAGCGTATACACAGCGGGTTTCTGGACGGTCAGGCTCGATTTGATTCAACACATAGGTTGTTATAATAACTAGGCTATATGGGAGCAGGACGACGGATACTCTTGGGGAAGTTATGCTCACAGTAGGTCTCTATAGTCGCTGTCGCGTGTGTTCTCGTGATATGTAAGACTTGACTCTATATTCTCGTATAAAGGAAACTTAGTTACAATGAATGGATGGAGGTTTTTTTTTTTCGCATCAGATTTTAATTGCGTATGCAGCTATCTAGCTATGGCACAATATCAGAGAAGTGTATGATAGATGACTCAATTTACAATAAGAGCACTCATGCCTCGGATTTCATTTGCTAGTACCACTGCGAAGTCATGGCTCCAGGATGGAGGTTGAGACCTCCTTATATCTTGCTCCAGACTTACTGTGTTGTTCACAGCCTAGTGCTAGAACATTCTCTTATGATATCATTTCTCTCCTACGAGAAATGACCAGCTCGTTCTCTCTCAGTCTATCAGTCTCTCACTGATTCCATTATCTCTATTCCATCGAGTTCTAGTTTGGTCCAGTATACTCACACATGCATTACACACTAAACACCCCACAGTTTAGTTCCACAGTTACGTGCATATGCTATGACGCGACCTAAAGCATGTACCATGGTAAGCTACATCGATAACACAACATAGGTGAAATCTGAGGTTGTTCGGTCATTTAGATGAAACAAGGTTTATTGTACTTATATGGTAGTTAGCGTGATCCAGTCCGGTCCCACTCGTGCTTAAGCTACAATAGGAGTTCGATGGATATCATGCACCTGGCCCGTTGATAAACAAAACAAACAAAAATAAACATGCGGAGAAGAGAAGTAGCCCAACCACTTTTTCCATTGCCACCTTGGGCAGAACTAGCCTCACTTCAACAGGACACAGAATTCTAGTACCAGCATATCTTGGGCTCTTGCCTCAGCGGAAGGACTTCTTGCATTTAGTAGCTGGGTTTGTGACACAATTTATTTTTCCCTTTTTAATTTTTTTTTTAAAAATACAACAAGTCTGACTAAGATGGAGGCGTGTAATAAAAGCCAGAGAGCTTAAAAGTGATGTAACCAGTTTCCCCCTTTCCTATTTTTATTTTTATGTTTTGTAGTCTCCATTTAATACCGTCTGTAAATCATGAGAGTCTACGTGAGGCTCAAGTTTATGTATAATCCAATCTTCGAGCGCAGGATAATAAGATGCCGGTCCTCATTTGCTATGTTGGGTCTGTGTAGGCGCCTACACGTCGAGTAGTTTAATTTAGACTGGGCTAACCGGCTTGTGAAAAGCTCACGTGCTGTGCATGGGCATGAGTTTCTTTTTTTTTTATGCATCAGATTTTAATTGCGTGTGCAGCTATCTAGCTATGACACAATATCAAAGAAAAGTACAGAAAAGATGACTCAATTTACAAGAGTAGCACTCATGCCTCGGATTTCATTGGCACGAGGTTCTAGTGTGTGTGTTTTTATCGTACTACTTGAGTCTATGACTATCTAGCACATTGGGCTCCTCTCTGACCCAGGCCACACCATCCACAGTGCTACTTGCCTCTTTTGTTTCTCGAAAGATCATTGATATATTCCCCGTGATGAATAGCCATTCAGCTCAGTGTTTACCCGAGGAATTCGGCCATCTTTTTCCACGGAACCTTCTACCCAAAAAAAAACAAAAAAATGGTAGCAATGGAAACTGCATGCGCGGGAAAATGTCTCAAAACCCCTACATCCTCAGCTAGGCCAGGTCTGGACACCGGCACCGCATGAGGTGCGCATAATCATCTATATATTCCTTCTCTGTAACGGTGGAGGCCGACTTATCCAATCTGCCATCTCCGTATCGGGTGCTGGGTATGCTCTGGAAACTCATCGGATGGCATCTCCTCCATGATCAAGGGTCTGTGATGAGTAGGGCTCCGACTCTACCATCTGATCTGATCGTGGGTAGCTTCATGATAGTGGTGATAGGGGAATGTGTTGAGAGATGAAGACGATATAGACCGCGAAAGCGATTGGGAATCCTTGTCGGTGTGAGGACTTTGTTACTCAACCTCGGCTCTGCAGACTCTACAGTGAGAGCTGGAGATTCGTAGGGGACACCACTGACAGGTTTTGAGAATAGTCCCCTGTGGGCACGAGGTTAAATATTATAAATAGATAAATAACCTGCCAACAAACGGGAGAGAAGCTGCGCATGCCTTAAACAAGGGTAAAGATATCGCCAAATGGACAAGAAATTGCGGAAGGGAAAAGGACAAGGGAAGGCAGAAAGAAGCTGGAAAGATAGCGGCTTTTCAGAAGTGGAAGAATTCATGGACAAGCCAGAACAGGAAATAGCGCCCTGGCCGTCCAGCATCAGCCGGTCCAAAACATTAGAAAGCAGCAAATATATTTACTGATTAACAAATAGGCAGCACCAAAATGAACTTCAAAGATACACCCTTAAAAATCCACCGTAACCTGACCAGGGCCCAAAGCAGTATCGCCATTCAGCCAAGAAGCGAGCATATCGGACTAAATTCTTACCTGTGCAGAAGAAAAGTACCCGGAGTAGAAAATTCAAGCTGTCAATGTGGATATCCGTCGCAAAACGTCAAACACATGGTGTTGGCGTGTCCGCAGTGGGCAAATGGAAGAGGCAACTTTCCCAGACAAGCTAAAGACAGGTCATTTGAAGCAATGATTAACAGCCCAGATGATTTGGCTATAGGAGGGCAAGACTGAACACCTGTACGCGGTGTCCTCTACGAACCTGGGAGTGAAATATTCTCCCAGAGCCAAGTTCAGTCAAACTTCGCAATACCGAACAAGTTGGCCCACGAGGCAATGATTCAAATTACTCCACCATATCAATCTTTCACTCCCAACGAAATCGATTCCTACCTAAACCTCATCAAGTTTACAAGTACGACCTAGTACATCCTAATCCCAATGACCACACCTCTTGTCGACTTTCTCTGGCCTTAGCTGGTCGCCAGATACACGCCCACGCCGATATTTACACCCGACGGAGGAAGCAAAGCGTGGCGCACAAATCTGGAAGACAATTCCTTGGGATGGATATGAGAGAGATCAGGACAAGTTAATAAGATGATGCAGAGGATTGGATACAGTCTCGACGGGCGTGGAATTTTGAATTTTGGAAAGGAGTTTTTACAAATTGAGCTTTGTGCGTGCCAAGTCTTCGGCTGCGAGAGTGCAGGTGACACTATAAAAACTGCCATGGTTGGATGGTGCGGTGGTACATCATCTTGGCCGGTCTGCCAAGTAGAGTCTGGATAGCTTGGACACATATCCCACTTGAGACAGTAGATCGCTGGTTCGAATCCGGCAAAACACAACCACATTTCTCGCGGCGCTGGTATGCATGGATGACGAAGGCATGCTTGGATAATCAAAGGTTTTGAAATTCCCTTTGGTGGGTACTAACGGAGGAGGGTCGACTGTTTGTGTAAGCAAGCATACCTCATAGTGGTATTTGCAAATGAAATCCAGAGTATGAGTGTCTCTAATGTCAAAAGAGTCATCCCACATGTATACATAGCGCCGGTCATGTGTCATAGCTAGATAGCTGAATACACATTAAATGATTTTAAAAAAAAAAAAAAAAAAAAAGATTTGGCTATAATAATACAGTGGATACTAAGCAAAGGATGGATAAAACAGTTTCGGCTAACAGGGGAATTCAAGGTAGCAATTTAGGATATGATAAATCGATCTGAAATGGGAGAGGACGTAAACTGCACTTCCTGAAGGTAAACTAGACAAATTGATAGTAATATAAACAGACAGGGTTAAGGGG